TGGGACTTGGCAGCCCGTGACTTTGGCCTTTAGTCCATCGTAGGATGATACAAGGTATAGTGCCTCAGCAGCAAGAAAAAAAATCAGCAAAGACAGGGGCACCAGAACAACCGGGATTCATAACATTTCAAAGTAGTCGTGTTCTTTTTTATTTTTATCGATTGTTTTGTTGTTTAGGGCCAGCACTTATCCCGGTGGCTCCGTCGTTGCTGCCGTTTCAGCCGCCCTGAATGCAACCAAACCACTGTTTGGTCAGAAATTTTAATTACTTATTCACTGATAGACGGTTTGCCTCGCCGCGGGCATGGTACAAACACAAAAATTGCTATCACAGAAATACAAAACTCTGGGCAGCGCAGTGCTGTACCTCAACGAAAGTAAAATATTTTCAGTGAAGGCAGAATTTAGAGTCATCAACACCGCCGAAAAAAAAAAAAAAAAACAGTCCAGGAAACACCCGACATAAAGTCATGGGAGAAAAAAAAGTTGTACCAACGCTGGAATTCACGCCTGCATGTTTATACAACATGTGTCACGAAACAGATTTCAAAGTGTCTTGCTAAAAATTGCACATCGCAAAGAAAAAATAACCTTCAAGTGCATTGGTCATCACCAAAGTGCACTTATGGAAGTAGGTGCCCAGAGAGCGAGATAGAGCAAGCAGTGTGGTGGTTTAACAACGGACGGGATACCACAAATGTGCAATATTATATCTTAGTGGGTTCGCACGCGTTTCTAGAACTTATAAGTGATGTGCCAAAAAACGCCCCCCCCCCCCCAAACCTCCCCCAAAGGTTTCATTTTTTCATACATAAATGAAAACCTAATATTTTATTTGTTTCGGTTTTTATGTCCTGTAGGTATTGCCATGATTTACGAGTTAATTCTCTTATATAATCTAATCTCTAGCGTTTTTGTACTCTCATAAGTTCAGTTCCCTCAGATATGTGATTGCAAGCACATCCTAACATAGGTGCCCTGCTGGTCCGTACTATGTCCACGGTATGGTGAGTTAACAAATGCAAGCGCTGAAAGAGCAAAGAAGCATTCGAGTATTAAATCAAACATTGAAACACAATAACTTACTGGCCTTTTAGAGCGCAGCTCTTAGGGGCCCGTTTCCGGCTTGAGCGGCGTCGCCGTCGGCGTCGGCGTAACCGCGCTGTGCATCATGGGAAATGTCCCATAATGCACCGCGCGAGCCCCCCACCGGGGTCACGTGACCTCGTGGGGGGGCACGTGACCCCCCGAGGTCACGTGACCCCGGTGCATTATGGGAAATGTCCCATAATGCACCGCGCGAGCCCCCCACCGGGGTCACGTGACCTCGTGGGGGGCACGTGACCCCCCGAAGTCACGTGACTCCCCTGAGGTCACGTGACCCCCGCCGATGTCGCGTGACCCCCAATGACGTCATCGTCACTGATGACGTCACCGGCATCCACATCGTCATCGTCATCATCACTGATGACGTCACCGGCATCCACATCGTCATCGTCATCATCACTGATGACGTCACCGGCATCCACATCGTCATCGTCATCGTCACTGATGACGTCACCGGCATCCGCATCGTCATCGTCATCATCACTGATGACGTCACCGGCATCCGCATCGTCATCGTCATCATCACTGATGACGTTACCGACATCCGCATCGTCATCGTCATCATCACTGATGACGTCATCAGCGACGTCACTGATGACGTCACCGACATTCGTCATCGTCATCATCACTGGTGAAGTCATCAGTGACGTCACTAATGACGTCATCGGTACCCGCATCGTCATCGTCAATGATGACGTCATCAGTGACCTCAGTGATGACATCATCGGCATTGGGGGTCACGTGACCCCCAAGGTCACGTGACCCCCCAAGGTCACGTGACCCCCCCTGGTTAGTTTAACCCCGCCCCAGTGCCCTTCCCCCTCCTCCTCAAGAGCTGCGCTCTAATTCGGCGTTACAGGGAGTTGTAAGCAGCTTTGACTTTTTTTTCTAAAAAAACTTATATTATTGGCATTCAAGACTTCAGCTTTGAGCTTTAGTAGTGTCCATGAAAATATGAATATTCCTAGCGCTATTCTCTAATAAATCATTCAAACTCACTGAAATATCTTGCTGTAAATAAAGAAAAAAAATCAAAGACTAATTTTTTTAAGAAACTTTGTTACTTAATTTACAGAGTGTTTCAAAACATTCGTTTTTTTTTTATTCTCACACGCATGCGGCACTAGCTTTGGTTTAGTAAAATTATTAAATTTATGACCCCAAAAAATAACTGAGCTTTCTGGAGATAGCTTCTTATTAGGAAACCTTTAGAACCTCAACCGTATAGTTCGCCAACCTGCGTCAAATGTCGAGAAAGAGACTTTGACGATATCTGGCAAGGTTGGAAAAACTGACGATAAAACTTAGGTTAGAAATGTTACGAAAATTAATAAACCCTTTCATTCATTGAAAATGATGATTCCAATTACAAGAGTGTCACACAAACGCTCTAGTGCAGTACTTGTAAGAAAAAAAAAAGGAAAAATAGGTCAAACATTTGATCTCCGACAGACAGAGAATAAACCAGGTTTCCGCATTGGCAGCTTCAGTAGTTCATAACTTGAAAATAAAAATTCCGCCGGGCTTGCCGTTCGAGTTTTTTTTTTTTATTCATAACATTTTCTTTTTAAAATTTAAAAATTACACACTTTTACCCTCGCCATTTTCAGACGAAATCACTCCGCGGTATTTTTATATTCTGTTTGCTTTATTGTTGGTAGACACAACTCTTTTGAGACCATCAGTATTCATGCTTTGATAAGTAAATGCGTGGAATGTTCGAATTTGTTTCATATATGTTTTTGGTAATTTATGATTGCAATTAACGCAATTGTCCCGTTGCAGTACTTGGTCTTTCTAATCTAGCTCCAACTGATTACCATAGTAACTCTTAAAGTAACTTGAAATGTTTTATTTAGAAAAATTAGAACCCGGCGCTGCTCGAGACATTCATACACTAATACCCGTGCCACACGGGCAACTTGAATGCCATTTACAACGAATGACATTTGAACAATCGGCCAATCAGCGCGCGGCACTCCGAGCGTGGGGCGTTCCACGCGCAACAGATCGGGAGCCGATTCGTTGATCACACACACTGATCTCAATGACAATTGCTGGATTGCGTTTGCCCGCTCTGCAAATGCGGTCACTGGCGGCCATCTTTAGGTAGAGTTATATCACCTCTAGCCAAGGTATAGCTCCTGCAGCCACTGTAATCCATCCATGGCAGACAGCGTTTTGGCAGGTGTGGTGGCAGGCTGCCGTCAAAATATGGTGGATGATATTTCGTGCTTGATTGAAATTGTTTGACGAAACATGTTTTTGAAAACCAGCGTGAACGGTAGCGCGATCTTTGAGGACCCGGTGAAAGTTTCACGAAATCGCAGCACCAGGGGAAAAGCAGCACAGCTCGCATCGAAAGTCGCATCAAATTTAGCATTAAAAGCAGACTCCGGCATAGGACTCCGGTACGGAGTCTGCTTTCGATGCGAGCTGCGCTGCTTTGCCCCGGTGCTGCGCTTTCGTAGAACTTTCCCCGGGTCCTCAAAGATGAGGCTACCGTTCACGCCGGGTTTCAAGAATCTGCGTCGTCGAACAACTTGAATCAAGCACGAAATATCTCCCACGGTACAGTGTACTAGATACACGGCTATTTTATGGCACCCGGCCGCCATTGCGCTCTCCGCCATTTTACTATGGTGGCTAGAGATGATATAACTCTACCTAAAGATGGCCGCCAGTGACCGCATTTCGGTCCATAGGCGGAGCTGGTCAAACGCGATCCACGAAATAGACAGAGATCAGTGGATCACACAATTGTCATTCGTTCTAAATGGCATTCGAGTTGCCCGTGTGGCACGGGTATAACAAGTTACCTGGAAAAACAACGCATTTTGACTTAATTTAACTTTAATCTTGACCGTTTTCACTTAGCAAAATCTCCCGTGTCGACTGATGCACCCTTGAACAAAACCACTGCAATCTATACAAAGAAAAACTTAAACAAATAACGCGGTTTAAAAAAAATTCTAACAAAAAGTTGATGTTTTAATCCACGCAGTGAAGGTGGTTGGCCAGCGAAGCGGTGGTGCCACCTGCAACGATTGCCCACCGCACTATACCAAATGATTCACGAAAGCAAAGCCTTTTTTACAAACCTTTTTTATATATGGAAGACTTCGTACGGCTACCGTTACCGCGGCAGCTTGTGCAACCGCCAACTTTTCCGAGAAACGCATGCGGGGAGCGCTACGTTCTTTGTATTGTTCGCGCGCACCTTATCATCTATTATGTGGTTTTGGCATTTGTGTTGTGGTCTTCTTATTGAAACAAGCGTCAAAATCGCATGATAGACGATAATATGCGCACGTACGATGATAAGGCGCGCGCGAACGATGATAAGGCGCGGGCGATGGTATTCTGTCGACGGACACGAATAAATCCGACCAACGAGTCATATAGAGTTTGGCAATAAAAGTAACGTCCGCGATAAGACACCGCCGCAAATAACGTATGTAAGAATTTGATTATATTTTTTACCGAGCTTTTTTGTAGGTGTAGGAAGTGAGGAAGTGTAGGAAGTTCTGAGGGAATGTACACAAAGGAATTTTTGTTTATACCAAGTGGCAAGCGCCAGCTGTGAAAGATGTTAACATTCAATGGTTCCTTAAGCCGCGGTCAGACTGCTACTCTATAATACAAAAGACGGTCTGCGGACACTGTCTGAAATCTTCGTACAACGCTCCTGTCACGTTGGCCATACAAAAACTGTCTCAGTCTTGTTTTAAGCACACATATGTATGAAGCAACCATGCCTCGAATTGGCCTGCGGCGCGTCCACAAATATAATTCTGTCATCGCGCCTGCAGTGAACACCGTGCCCCTTGTTTGATGTACGTGAGCAGTGTGTCTGCGACTTGAGCGACTGCGCGTCGTGTTTCCTTTTCTAGCGCAAGATGGCGGCCAGCCGGTAAATGGGCGGCACATGACGGAACAAAGCGGAAGCAGAAACTACGAAAACATCATCCTCGAATGGAGGAACCTCAGCTTCCAAGTCAAGTGCGGCAAAGGTGGGTTCGCCGCCGAGGCGATAGCGCGCAACACTTCCCGAAGGTAGCCACCTTTTTTGGGTGTGTAGTTCAATGCAAGTAGGTGTGTATACACGCCCAGAAAAGGTCACTCTGAGCTTGCTGCACCGCAATGCACTCCAAACACCAATCACTGGCCTGCCTTTCGTCAGCTAAGCCAATGAGGAACGTGATCGGTAACGTGTTTCAACGGTAACGCAGTATCAGTTGCGAAGAAGGTGGACACCTTTTTTGCCACTGATCCTGCATGATAATGAAGGATGGGGAGGGGAGGGGGGGAGGGGATACCGCTTGATCTTTTGATTGGCCAAGCTGATTCAATCAATATCAATGATTGGGTTTACGAGTGCATCGTAGGACAGCATTCATGCAAAAGGTTCTGAGGAAGTAGGCCTTGCAAAGACTGACTAGCGTGAATATCAGGAGTGATGGTTAACTTCGTTGATTAAACTATTCGCGACGACAGCGACCTATAGGGGGTGCCACCTCCGACCAAACATGGCGGCTGGGAACGGATCGCGTCGGGGCTGCCGGGCCGGCTGAAAGGGAAGCGCATAAAATTTCGCTTTTTTTTTTTGTTTAATGCCATATCTTTTCAATGTTTAAACTGCCCCGGTTAAGTATAGCCGGAGCACTTGAACAGCAGAGCATAGTTTTCGAAAGCCGACAGAGGCGCGGACAGGCGCAAAGCAGCTTGTTCCAGCTAGTTTCCAGTTTTCCCGCTAGGTGACGTTTGTTTTGGTGGAGTCGCGAATAGCATCGAGCATCTTAGCAACAAATGCTTCAAAACATGTGTAAATGAAAGATTGTCTGCCTACCTTCACAACTTGATTGGTTTTACCGGCTTACTCCCAGCAAAGAACGCCATCGTCAGCAATCTGAGCGGAGCGGCTCGACCAGGCACTCTGATGGCCATCATGGGTCCCTCCGGTGCAGGAAAGACGACGCTACTCAACCTTCTCTCCGGATTCTAGTGAGTAACGGCACACTCTAATTCAACGGAACGAGATGCATACACCGGGAACAACTCATGAACGATTACTCTTTATTCAGTTTAACCACTGCTGCGGCGAGCGCTATCTGTCGAGCGGCAATGGCAACGAAGTAAAATGGCTGACTGGGCTAGTTGTGGTTAATTTTTCAAAAACAAAATTAAAACGAAGCACACGATAAAAACAGGGCACGGCCAGAGGCGTAGCCAGACGCGCAGCCAGAGGGTGGGGAGGAGTTTACAGGGCTTCAGTCCTCCCCCCCCCCCCCCCCCCCCCCCCGCCCCGCTGTACAAATCTAAAGGAGGCGGGTGTGGAATGTTGGCGCCATGCGTAGCACTAATTCCGCCCCTCCCCTTTTTTTTAATTTATGGAGGTCATAGCTAATCCAACTAATTACCAAAAGAATTATTTGTTACTACGCCTCTGCACGGACACAGCGTAGTTTTAAAATAAACTCTAAAACTTTCGTTGAAAGTTACGGCGTGTCTTGTATTCGTCTGCCTCGTGCTCGCTCTTTTGATTAGTTGAACTGATTTAAGGAACACAAAGAATTTTAGATCCGAGTGCATCGCGGAGAAATGTACACGCGGGAGCTTCCTAGATATACAGTTCTCGACATTTGCATTCCGATAGACGTTTTCTGCAGATAAGGTTGTCCAGGAGAGCCTCTGGTTTTACCTGCAGTGAAAATGGCTACGAAGGTGAGGTCCAGATCAACGGCTACGTGCGGGACCAAGTGCTGTTCAGCAAACAGAGCTGCTACGTCATGCAGCAGGATCGCCTGCTGCCTTCTCTCACGATCCAAGAGACCCTCACCATGAGCGTCGGGTTGCGCATGACTACAGCATCGGTTCTTGTCAAATCACAAATGGCGAGTATACGTTGCTTGCAGAACATTTTAGTTGGCTGCATTTCTAATTTGCCCTTGTGCCGAAGCCAGAAAAAAGTATTAGATTCAAGATTAGGAGGATGTCATTAAAGGTAACCGCCAGTGCCAAATCAATGAATTGATTCATTTAGGCAGAAATCGCAGTGGACGAAACCATCACGGCCCATTTTAAATGTGCTTAAGCTTGCAGTAAGTAAATGTAACTGCACTAGAGTAAATGTTGCATTAGGTTGCAAGTTTAGTTGGATTTGTACTTTATCTCTCCGTATGCAATGAACTATAGCCGAAGCTATGGCTTGCATGTCCAATCAAAAGCTACTCAGAGGCCGCGCGGTGTATTACTGAGGAGGGTTAATAATCAGAGTGATGCACTGAAGCGCGTCGCAGCAATGTACAGTCGGCACGGAATGAAACGCGAACAAGGAGCGCATGGTTTTCGACCCACGCTGAGTCACCTAGAGACGCAACACCGAAGGTTTGGATGCACTGAGCAAGAGTCTAACACATCGAAGGAGGAGCCATCTTCTTGCAGCTCCCATCTGGTTCAGGTGGTGCAGCATCTAGCGAAAACCATGCACCCACTGTTCGCGTTTCATTCCGTGCCGATTGTACTCTATGGTTTCTAAGTAGACCTTGATCGGACCTTTGTGGCTTCATCATAGACTCCCCAGAAGGGCTACGTGTTGTCACTAAACCGGTCCCTGCCATGTCCACTGCCAAATCAAAGACCTGAGCCTTTCGTTAACAATCGCCGTGCACCTTGACGCAATGCCATATTTTAAAAGTAACCTGAAAGGAACTCGGCATCTCCCTACGAAGAGCTGTAATTGTGACTGTAACTTCAAGACATTTCAGTTCACGGAAGTGAATTCGTGACAGAAATAATTTGTGAGACTAACTAACGCAGCTCTAATTTTTACAGGGGAGAACGAGGGAATTATTAAAAATTACAAGCAACGTTTTCTTTCTTTCTGTGTTGTGGTTATACGCGCACTTAAACGACAAACGCAATTAATCAGGAAATATCAGATGTGTAGCGAGCGAGCTCATTTTTAGTTATTAATTGTTAGAAAAGGCTAAGAAAATTAGTTCTTGCACGCATACTTACTTTTATTTAGCGTGAACACGAAATTTCACAGTGACCGACGGAGATTTCTCCGCAAAATTGGGCCAAATAAAACGTCTTAAATTAACAAAATTTGTTTTCTACGATTCTTGTAACTTTTAGCTCACAAGGGGTTGGTTCTCAATTGAAACAAGTAGTAACCAGAAACTAATTTATGAGTTGCTGCCACTCAGCCGCCCATTACATTGTACTAAAATAAAGGAAGCGTTATACGAATACTAAAAGTTCGCTAAAGTACTTGGTACGAGCGTGTTACAAAGAGGACCACAGTGACGCCATATTCCGCGCGCGTGCTTGCGAACAAGCTTTTCTTCGACAATTGAGCGGAACGCAGCAAACCGCGACGCATGCATAGAGGAAGTTTTGCCGCTGCCAATTCAGCATTTTTCACGCTCAACGAACATGCGGTGCATATTATTATTGAGTAAATCCTTTATTTCCCATATATCTGGTAACCAGGAAGCTTGCCGTCACAACATTAATGCAACGAATCCTACATAAACATAGACGACTTATTTAGATTTGACTTTCCAGAAGCGTAGCTTTCTTTGCACGACTCAAACGATGAACAGGCCTCAAGCTCCATTAGTTGACGTTCAATGACGCGAGATATATCGGAGCTTTCACACTTTAGGCAGGTCTCCCGCAGTCGACGGGCTTTCCCTTGTGGGGTAAGGTGGGGCAAAATACAAAAAAAATGTAACCTCAATAGTAATTTTAATTTTTTCTTTAATATATTAGAAAACACAGCATGGGGATATTTTTAGACGCCTTGACTTTACGCTCAGTAAATATTGCTTAACTGGAGCAAGCGAAACATTAAACAAAGCTACAATATCTGAAAGTCACACGATGTCTCATTTTGACCCTCCCTGTGTTGCAAAATGAGAAAATGTAGTGAAGTGCAATGAGTTTTCGCAATATAAACACTCGAAACGCACTGCGTGAGCTCACACGCTTTATGAGCCCTTTCCTTGCATTCCGTGCACTCGATCCATACTGAGTGTGGCAGTGCTTGGCTCCAAAGTTCATTGCACGCCAGTCACTGCCAGTCTCTCGTGGTGTGCATCGCGCGGTCTGCAGAACGCTCAAACACTGCATGCTTCTTCGAAGATCACTAATGATCGTTTTCTGCGGTTTTCCGTTTTAGAGCGCAGCTCTTAGGCGCCCGCATCCGGCTTGAACGTCGTCACCGCCGGCGTCGCCGTCGGGGTCGGCGTAACTGCGCGTTGCATTATGGGACGTTTCCCATAATGACGTCACACGGACGTCACGTGTGACGTCACGAGGGTCACGAGTGACGTCACGCGTGATGTCACCGCGCGTTGCATTATGGGTAAATTTTCCCGTTATATTTAGCGTAAAAATTTCCCCGCTAAGTTTAGCGGAAAAAATTCTACGGTAAATCTTGAGGAAAAATAGGGAGTTTTCGTAGACCGCGCTGCCCCCACCGCTAAGCGTTCCGCAACGAAGAAGTTGCTACTGCGCCTGCGCGCTGATAGCCTTGACTGTGGAGTTTCCGCTATCCTAGCGGGTTGCGGAGGGCTTTACGGGACGGCAAAAACGATCTACGAAAACTCCCTAATGTTTCAGCCAAATTTAGCGGACATATTCCCTTCTATATCTAGTGGGAAAAATTTCCCGCTAAATTTTGTAGAAAAATATTCCGCGCTAAATTGAGCGAAAAAAATTCCCCGCTAAATTTAGCGAAAACATTTCCCCGCTAAATTTAACGGTAAAGTTTTCCCGCTAAATTTAACGGAAAAAGTTCCCGGCTATATTTAGCTGGCAAAATTCCGCGCTAAATTTAGCAGGAAACATTCCCCGGTAAATTTAGTGAAAAATTACCCTTCTAAATTTAGCAGAGAAAATTTTCCGCTAAATTTAAAAAGACAGCTTCCACGCTAAATTTAGTAGAGAGTTTCTTTCGCAATATTTAGCGGAAATTTAGTGAAAATTTCCCGCTAAATGAGAGGGGAGCAAAAGAGGAGGAGGGGAGGGTACGAATGAGGAGGAGGGGCACACTCTCCTCTCCGTACCTTTCCCTCTTCCTCCTGAAGGGCTGCGCTCTAGTTTGGCGTTACAGGAGATTGTAAACGCCTATCATTTTTTGTTTTGTTTTGTTTCTTTGTTGTTGCTGCTTTTTGTCTGTTTCTTTTCTGGGGGGCGGAGGGGGGGGGGGGGGGGGGGCAGGCAGTGGAACGCCGGTCCTTGGTTGCTTTCGCCAACATCAGCTTTGCCTTGTAGGGAGATGACGTTCGAACAGTGCTGCTCTCCGATCTGCTTTTTCTCTTTTCCTATCCTACGTTAGGTACAGAATAAATATTCTTGATACCCAAAACGTCGGAAAGAACGCGCCTTCTGTAACGCAGCCGTTTTCTTTTTTTTGTTTTTGTTTTTTTTCTTGAACCGTTGCTTTTTACTTTCTCCGAGTAGTTTGGCTCGCCTTTGAAGCGCATCCTTTGGTACGTCGAAAAGCGCGGCAGCGGTGCGAAGGAAGTGACACTGTTGCTTGACACTTTCAAGAGCTTTGTTCATGTCACTTTCACGTTGTGATGCCCTTATTGTTTTACTTTCATGCGTTCGGACCATCCTAGACACCGTGAAAAAAAGAATGTGGTCCACGAGCTACCAGGAGACTCCTGCGATATTGACATGCGCGTCATAGAATGACAGATTGTCGCGTTTTTCCCTGGCGTGTACCCCGTTACGTAAATAAGTATTTCTTTAAAAAACAGAAAGGCTACTACAGATTGCTCAGTTGTGGTCCGAATGGAGCCGATAAACTGTACCAATAAAATTAAAGCTATATTTTTGCAGAATAGTTGTTGCCAGCCGGGGTGCACGTCTCCAAGCCAAACCTCGCACTGAATTTTGCACCTTTTTGGCGAGGTGTAAACGCGTCAACCTCAACTCCGCTTTTTGTTTTCTCCGGAACACTCCTGCCGACAGCTTTAATATTTTAAGCACGGAAATTGTATAGGTCACGGCAGCTCCCGGTGATGTTTGAACATACTCTGATGTACTCTGGTTGTGTGTATGTTTATACAGCCTAGAACTTGCATCAACGGGCGACGAGCCTCCCAGCTGTTTAGCGCAGTCCAGGAAATGGGCGGCGCTAAACACAAACTGTCGCATTTTGCCCCGCATCTCATTTTACTTGCCCCACCTTACTACTCTTCAGGGGGATCGGTGGCCGCGGGTGTGTTAACGCAAAGAAGCTTGGAGCACGTGGAGCGAAAGCTCGCGCTGCAAAACTCAGAGGTCCTGGACCGTCTCGATAGAACAGCGTCTTAGCTGAGACTACTTGGAGGAAAGCACTGCAAAGGCTGGAGCTCATGAGCGTCTTAATTACGTAATTAAGATGTCTAACCAACTAGCCCAACAGTTAATTTTAACTCATGAGCGTCTTGAGACGCGGTTTGAGTCCCACTCAGCTCGTTCGCTAACTTTGGCAGTGCTTTCTTGACCACGGTCTCAGCTGAGACGCTGTTTTTAGCAAGCCGGCCCTGGGCTCAATCTTCACTCCTTCCCGTTTCGATCTGAATGCGCGTCATGCCGGCGTCCGGTCGTTTATCTCTACTGCGTGATGCATACTAAAACCCCGAACTCTTACAAAGAAATCTAGTAAAAAGTTAATTTCTGCAGCAGTTACTATCTTTTCCCGACCGTTACTACGTTTTGACTAGCTATTTACAACCTCAAACGCGTGATGAGTAGTAAACTGTGAATAACTGCAGCAGTTGATATCTTTTTCTGGCCGTTTCTAGCTCTGTACTAGCTATTTACTCCCGCAAACGCGCGACAGGTAGTACGGTTGCAGCTGCTATGCAAGGAAGCGCGAACATGGCTGCGTGGAACCTATATGGCAACACTGTTTGATAGAAAATCGGTTTGTGTGTATGTTTATACACACTAGAACTTGCCTCAACGCGTGACGAGTCTCCCAGCTGTAGAGAAATTTAGTAAGTGCAAGCACAACCGCTAACATGGTGTCTTTAATGTGCATCAAGCAGTAGTGATACACGACCGCATGCCGGTACGATGCTCATCCAGATCGAAACGGGCAGGTGGGGGGATTGAGCCCTGCATCTCTGGATTCTGCAGCGCGAACATTCGCTCCACGTGCTCCGATCTGGTGTGCGCTAGCCCACTCGGCCACCGATTACCCCTCCCACTCCTTTTTATTTTAATGGTCTGTCGCAAGCGATTACTGTGTATTCCGTTACTTCTTTAGGAAGGGCGTTTTTTGGAATATTTTGCAACAAGCTTGGAGAACAATATTATTGCGAAAGCAGCACTGTACTTGTAACATTTTTTCACGGTCGAGGTGGTCACTGACCAACCGACTTCTTTCAAATGATCGGTAAAAGACGACCACTGGAGGCAGTGGTGTGTTAGGGTGTCGTCGTGCGTGTGTCATCTGTGTTTTAATTCATTGTCTGAATTGAATAACTGATATGTGTGCAAATGCATATGTAAGCAGCGTGGAAATAAACTCTATGCCAGCAATAATTTTTTTTTGCCAATTTGGAATTTGACGTTGACTAGCGCTACCTGGGTTCGAGTGTTTGAGAGCGAGTTTTGCTGTCGCACATCGTTAATAACTCCTTCGTTATTACGGTACCCATCAACAAAAAAGGAAACGCATTACCTCCTTCCAAGGAAAAAGGTTCCTCGCTTTCTGAACGTAAAACAGCTACTGCTTAGAGGTAGTAGCAGTTTACTAGGTCTTGTAAGAGTTAGTGCCAGTTACAAGCTGAAGATAGTGAAGGATACTAGGTTCTATCGATGAGGTTCGTAACCGTCACTAGCTTCTTTAGCTAGTAATGTTACTAATTTGGCTGTTCCATACTGGAGTTACTAAAAACTTAGTGAATATTGTAACAAGCACCTACTTACTTTTAGTTAGTAAGTGCTACGAACTTTTTTCTAAACCAGTGGTACCGCACTGGCTAAATTTCCCATCTACAGTGGGAACACCGGACGCCCAGCACTGCGCCTGCGCAAAAACCTAATTCGAAAAGAGGGAAACGTATGCGCATGCCCAGTACCGAGAGCAGCGCCACCAAAATGACTTGGCGTCAGTGAGTTGGATTGGTCTATAAGTTTCCGCTGCCTAAGCAAACACTCTTCTTATCGGTCTCTTGGACTAGGTGGACCAGCTGGTCGACGAGTGGGGCCTGAGTGAGTGTCGGCACACCAGGGCGGAGGCTCTCTCTGGCGGCGAGAGGAAGCGGCTGGCCATCGCCCAGGAGCTCGTCAACAACCCTCCCGTCCTGTTCCTCGACGAACCCACGACGTGAGGACAATGTAGACAGTGACAGCTTATGAAACGGAGAGTCGTGGCTCGGTGCGTTCACGCTCATTGATTTCTAATTACGTCTTGGCCGTTTTTATCGGCAAACGCCTCAATCTCAATGGTTGCGGAGAGATAATATAAGATATTCAAGACTCACCGCGTCCTACGTTTTTTTTTTTTTAAGTGTTTAGTGATTATGGTAGGAGTACTGAGTGCACTGCGGGGTTCGGTATGCTTTCAAGGATTTCCGAGTGTACTATGTATATTCGGGGAAGGTGATTCATTGACCAGGACGAGGAACGTCTTGACGCTCCGGGTTTCACTACTCGTGGACGGTTCCGCTGGCATTCTTTTCCCCTTCAATGATTTTTTTTAATGGAAAAGAATATGGCGTTTGCCTTACATTCTTTTACGTGAGCAAATATTTGCAGTTCTCTATTTTGTGAGCCGATACTCACTAATTTCTCCACGACTGTGTGAAGTGCAGCTTTATGTTACCAACCAAAATGTTAATATTTTTTTTTAACTTTTACCCATTTTGAACTTTCCTTGCCCAATAGACCCTTTCCGGACTTCAGAGCCATCTGGTGACTCAAATGGCAGTTTAACTTTTACCGTTCTAATGGCGGAAATGGACCCGTGGTCTGCAGTATTTTATGGGCACCGTCACCTTCGCAAGTTAACGGTAAACGAGAATGCGCGCTTCACTGTACAGTCCTTTTTCAATCTCTTTCAGTGCCGATGGCAAAAAAGATGCAACCAGTCAGAACGAACCACCAACCCACATAGACGCCTTTATAAAGTTTTATACACCAAGAGGCTTTGAATACGAGTATGTGCTATTAACAGATTGACTGGCCCCGAGTTAGAAATGAACGCTTACGCAGCTCTTGCATCCAATTCCTGCTTCACGTCGCATAAACGTCAAGAATGTATAGGCCTCGAATCATCTGCTTTGGAGCATCTTCAACTTCTTCCTTTATTAGTAAACACGAGGCCGCCATTATACATTGTTTCACCTGATGTTGTACCGCAGAAAAGGCTATAAGCGCGAGCTCCTTGCTCTGGGGCAGATCTCGGCGGTACAAGCTTTCGTGCAGTAAGGGCAGCTGTAAACGCTATGAGCTCGCCCTTCCAGTCTTTGCTGCGGTACAACATAAGGTGAAACGGAGTATAGTATAGCACATATGCCATTTTTCAGATGACGATGGCAGTGATCAAAGTGGCCAGACTGAATTCCGGAAAGGGTCTATTGATTTGGGTTCCAGTATATTACATCGTTTCAGTAAAAATTGAACTCAATCTTTTCTTGGCCAATATATTATTTTCACAGCAGAACTCTGCTGCTCATTCATTGTGAATCAGAATTGGCAAGTTTAATCTAAACTCAAACTCCGATTTCCCATTCACACAGACAGCCTAAAGAACCTTTCCCTTCGCTAAAGATGACTCCATAAAAAGGCGCCTGGTTTGTACATGGTGAAATTGTTCATTGAAAGAAAATAAGTTGGCGGCCTAGTTAGTTGAACAACCTGAAAATATTAGCGCGAAAGACAAATGACAAGGGAGTAGAAGACAGGTCAAGCGCTACGTTCAACTGACGTTTCAATAAAACGATAAAAAACAGAACGAAGAACAGCTGCGGCTTACCGGTCGATTCGTTTCTTGAACTACTGACTTTTTATCCGAGCTCCACGGTGGTAATTTTCTCAGGAAACAGCTGTATACAACAAAAAAAAAAAGGAATATGTATGTGTTCGTGCGTTGGCCCTTGTTGGTGCGTGACGTTTTTCTTCAAAAAGCGACAGGACCATCCAATGAACTGTCGTCCATCATCTCAAGCAACCCACGCTACTCTCATCAACACCATAAAAACCATATTCATAGACAAAATTGAAGGTTTAAATTCCACTCACGTAGGCTCGAATCAACTCCACCCTACGATTTTTAGACCTTCGACTCACCTTCAAAAGTAACCATCACTGGATGTAGTCGCCAAGATCGCCAAAAAGACTAAAAAGACAGTACATTTCGGCGCACACCAACTTGTAAAAAGAGGAATTGTTTCCAGGTGTTTTAGCGCGGTTCTAAACATATCCTGTTCTCATTCAGCAGCGGCGAGCTTTGATGCGCAAGCATTTCGACTCTAAGCTTCCGGCTTCCATCTTATCAGATATGCCTCAATGATTGATGAAATCCAACCGACCAAGAAAGGGAGAGAGAAACGACACCGACCTGCAGTCGTTCCATTTATGACTCCCACCTCAGACAGCTTCAAGAGAGTCGCATCCAAGAATGATGTCCGGATAGTGCTATCTGCCCCCGACACGCTAACCAGGCTCTGACCCAAAATAAACTCGCAGCGCGACAAGGCGGACAAATGCAGCGTGAGACATGGGGCCACAAGCACTTAAACAGTGACTGCGGTGTTGTGTGTGAAATACCGTTCTCATCAGGATCGGGGAGCATGAAACTTCTCTGAAATCCTCGCCGTCAGATCACTTAGCTTTACATCTGAGGGACTGCGGGTGCGCCCCGTTGTTCGGTAGAGCAGAGATTCTGAGGTGGCTTCACCACAAACGACCTTGAGGAATCTAGAAAGGCCAGGCCATAGCAGCAAGAAGCGAATCCTGCATAAGCGCGCCATCAGTGAACTTGTCACCGAAAGAACTACGATACCTGCTTATTTCTTAAACCTTGTTTACTTCTCTACCATTTGTTTTCAATTTTAGAGCGCAGCTCCTAGGCGCCCGTTCCCGGCTTGTGCGGCGTCGCCGTCGCCGTTTCGGCACTGTGCGGAAACATCCCCGCGGGGTCATGTGACACCCCTCGGGAAAAAAGGGGGAGGGGCCTCAGAGGATCGCTTGACCCCCTGAGAGGGGACCGTGACCTCCCTCGGGGGGGGGGGTCACGTTACCCCCTGACCCCCTGACTGGGGTCACGCGACCCCCCTGAGGTCATGTGACCCCCTTACCTTACGTGAGCCCAATGAGATCACGAGACCTCGTGAAGTCACATGACCCCCGTGAGGTCATGTGACCCCGTGAGGTCACGTAACCCCCGTGAAGACACGTGACCCCCGTGAAGTCACGTGACCCCCGTGAGTTCACGAGGGTGACGCGACGTCACGAGGGTCACGTGACCTCAAAGTTACGCCGACTCCGCTCGGAGCGAGGAGCAGCATGATGAGGAGGTGAGGAGGAGGGAGGGGGTATACCCTCCCCTCAGTTCTCTTCCCTCCTCCTCCTCGAGAGCTGCGCTCTAATTCGGCGTTACAGGGAGTTGTAAACGGCTTTCATTTTTTTATAATATTGTTGGCTTTATTTTTTAGTTTTTTTATTATATCTATGTTATATGAGATCTCCTTCTAAATCATTATCTTTTTATCTTTTTATATAGATTTCATCTTCGTACTTTTCTTTCTTTGTGTGTTCATTAAAGCGTCAGTTTAAACCACCCCTTGTTCTGTCCTGACCTCCCTTGCCCCTTGTCTTTAACGCTAATATTTTTGCGATGTAAATGGTAAATTGTAAGTTGGAAATTTAAATACAATTAAGTTTAAACTGTAAATTGTAAAATGGTAAGCTGTAAGTAACAACTCAGAGCTTGGTTATTTACAGCCTCGAAAAGAACTATCTCTTCGGGGGCAACTGAGAGAGTAGAAGCTTGATCTACTTTGGGTGAAGAAATTGTATTCTTGATTTTACAAGGAGCCACTACCTCCAGGTATTCGTAACTGTACCCTTGCAACGCAAATAAAATATATAGACCCTTTTACTGTTGACAAATACGAACCGCTGTTTGAGTCCCGAAGGACTTCCGACAGCTCCGTCTTTGTAAGCCTGTCGAGCTTGCTTATGTCACCAGTGCTAGAAAGAATAAATGCTAAACGAACAACAAAGTTGGAGATTTAGCGAGGGCCTTCGGTTGTACGATTTAAAGTATTGGAGGAGAATATTTGGTTCTCTAGAATATCAGAAACATTTGACAAGATGTCGCGTGCTTGTTTCTTTCGCCGTTCACCTGGAGCAGTGGTCCTCAACCATTGACGATTCGCGGACCTCTTGTTGATCGGCGGAGATGATGGAGGACCGCGTTCATGGTGAGGTGAAGGGAAAGGTATAGGTTAAGTATTATAATTATTTAATAATCGGATATAACTAAAGGCTGGTGTGAAGTAGACTTCTCCCAATGATATGTACACGAGAAAACTCACCCGAAAATTTGGAACGATTCTTCTCAATCGGATAAAAGACAACCTTTATTGCCGGGCTTTACTGATGAGGCAGGGCTTCGCGGACCCTTAGAATGCCTTCCCGAACCCCAAAAGGCCCGCAGAACCCCATTTGGGAACCACTAACCTGGAGAATCGGCAGTTTAAAGTTTCATCGCTCTTTCAAGTAGCGGTATTAAGGTAGGTTTTGTTCATTATTTTTCTGAACCGGAAGTTTCGTGGGGTTGGAAAAGACTAGAGCACCAGCTAAATGCGTTTGCAAGGAAAAAAAGTCTATTCGGTAGTCATTTATTGATAGGTATTTAATTTGACTAGACTGGAGGATCGGCCAAGTTAGGCAACAACGTGCAGATATGTTTTATTTGGGCCGTTTGTGACAATGTCCCTGATGCTAGCAAATTTGACTGAGAAGAAAATTGTCATTATTCGTTGTGTCCAACAATATATACACATACTGGCTGTTTCATCGAACGTAGGTTAAAATAATCGCGTGAAAACTTCACATCGCAGAGTGTTAAGGTTAGAACCGTGTTTGTTACTGTATAGGAAATTAATTATTGTTGCACACTGCTTTCGGTAAAATTAGGATTCACTAGTTAACTGTATTTCAAGTTTTAATAAGTTTAACACGATTAACTTTGTAACTAAATGTAAATATAAATATAGTTCCGAATATAAACGTGCTGGGGCATTATGAAAAACATTAAATCCATCAGTTTTAGAAGGATGTGGGGCGCCTGCTTTCTTTGTCATTTTCTCCAAAATACACCCAACTTCGGCGAGCCCGTGCGTTTTTTTCTTCTCTTTTTTAATTATTATTTCCCATATTTTTGCTCCGCAAGCCTTGAGAGTGTGGAAAAAGCGGCAACTTTAGTGGACATTCGCTCTTCCCACGAGCTTCATGTCTTCCTGAAATTTACTGATATTTCTTTTCTAATGATGGTCAGCAAGTTGGGAACGGTAACTCTATACGCGTAAGCATTGCATAACAAGTTAAATCCCGACAAAGCTAAAAACAATGCACACATTAAAATATGCCCTGGACGCTGATCAATACCATTCCCATGTTCTTATTGCGCGACATGTAAGCTGTTTACAACTGTTTTCGTCAACGTTAGGTGAAACACCCTGTATATCTCTTACCGCATTGTATGCGCTTGACACACTGTATATGAAGCCCTGAAAAGTATACAGAAAGGCTTCTTTTTTTGATATGCGTAGAATATATGACTTTTTTTTAAATTACTGCTTGGTGTTCACTCTGCAGCGGATTGGACAACTGCTCCAGCCTGATGTGCATCCAAATCCTCAAGAGGTTGGCCGAAAGGGGACACACAGTCATATGTTCTTTGCACACGCCGAGTGCCAAAATATTCTCCTATTTCGACGTGGTAAGGCTTACTCAGTTGCGATAATTGCGCCTGTTATCATGCAACCCGTGCCTAACTAAACATGCCAAGCAATATCTCAATTGATGGTTAATTCCAACTCAGTTTAATTTTATTCCTCGAATAAGTGTAAAACGTGTTTTCAGGTCTTACTTTCATCAACATGAATTTCCAGGTCGTGGAAGGCATTATTCCAATTGATGGTTTATTCAACTCAGTTTAATTTGGTTCCTCCAATAAATATAAAACGTTGCTTTTAACTCTCACTTTCACCAACAAGCATTTACAGTTCAACTTAAAAAAAAATACGCTGATAGAAATGAATATCTTTAAAAACCTACAAATTATTTTGAGAATAGCTTCGAAACAAATGAGTTCATACTTTCTTCAACATACTCTTGTTATTTTTGTTCACTCGTCGCTTTTGTTAGTCTCGTTATAATTATATTTCTGTTTGTATTCGGCAGTGCACTGGGAAATATCTTAAAGAAACTGAGCAGGTCCATTGCCTTGTTTTACTTTCGTTTTTTATGCTATAATACAAACGTGAAAAAAAAAAAAAAGACTTTGGTTGTCGCCACTACAGCCCAGCTGCTCGTTGGCACTGTGTGTGTATCATTAGGTCTCCATTCTTTTCACCTTGCTAATGTATTTTGAATAGTTGCATAATATGAATACAATAACGTCGTATTTCATTCAATCTGTGAAATGTGACGCTTCGCGAGTTTCGGAACAAACGGGACGGCACGTGCATGTATAAGACGTGTGTGGGCATATATGTCGTCCAGTTTTCTCCTTGTGTTTACACGTTCGTCCTACCCACACGCTCTTCGGTTCATCGGTAGTGTGGTCCAAGTCACCAGGCTCTATCTAAAAAAGACCGTAAAAATCGGCGCCTGCATGTAGCAATCTAAACTTTTCGTCAAAGGTGTATTTCACAGGTCGCCTTTTTTGCAAAATTACAAAGCGTAGTTCTCTTTCTATAAAAAATAAGGCCAAGAAACTTGCCCGGGTCTACGGCGGGCAGCGACGCAGACGACAAGGGTTCAGTAGCGGGGTGTGTTTGGCGTTCGTATTGATAGCGGGCGCTACCTCCTTATCGCGACTGCTCGCGACCACCGTGGTTTATTAAAATGAACATAATCCTTTTGAGATGTACCTTCGGTTAAAAAATAAATACGGACAACAAAAGCAAAACTTAAAGTAAAGAAGAAAAAAAACGCATCTGCATAACGACGGCGCTTTTTCTGCCAACGGATTTCGTCTGCGTGTCGTCTGCTTTCTTTCGCTGGTCGGACGCTGCTCCCGACGCCATCTATCAATGCGAACGCCAAACACATCCCGCTACTGAACCCCTGTCGCGTGCGTCGCTGCCCGCCGTACACCCTGGCAAGTTTCTTGGCCCTCTCTTTTACAGAAAGAAAACTACGGCTTGGCAATTTTACTAGAAAAAACCGACCTGTAAAATACACCTTAGACGAAAAGTTTAGATTGCTACGTGCAGGTGTCGACTTTTACGGTCCATTTTAGATCGAGCCTGGGGACTTGGACCACCCTATATATACACACGTTAACAACTCAAGAAACAGAAGGCATAGAAGGCTTCTTATGATCATGCTTCTTGCGTCTGAATTTGTTTTTCGGCGTTCTTATTGGCTAATGCCGATAAGAATACCGAAGTCTTATTGGCTCAGGAGCTATAATGAGATGCTTAGGACTGCGTCTGTTTGAGCTGTGAATGACCGTAGTGGTTGAGCGTTTCACAGCTAGGGTTGGTGGCACGCGTTCCCGGTTTTTCGACGGCGTAATCGTTAACGAAAAGTTTCCCCGCTAAATTTTGCGGGAAAATTATTGTCGCGTGAACTGATGTCACGCGATCTACAGACAAATTCGGGTTCTCCTTTAGATTTAGCAGCAAGATTTACGTCACGTCACCTATGCACCAACTCAGTTTACCCGCTAAATTTGGCAAGAAAATTAATGTCGCGCGACCTGACGTCAAGGTACCTACGGATAAATTGGGGTTCCCCGTTATATTTGGGTGATTCCACGTCAATTCATGCAATGATGGTCCGGGTCATATTTTAGATATTTTTGTTAAAAATATATATGAAAGCCATGTTTTTGGGAGGAACATTCAGCTAGATATGAACGCCGTAACAATTTTTTTGGCTGAGATATAAAATAGAGAAGCTTGAGGCGTGGAAATTGAGAAGATTTCACAATGCTACTTTGCACAGTCGTCGTTTCCTTATCGAACCTTTCACGGCACCATAACTTTTTTAATGGGTTTTACAAAGGTTATACAACACATACATAAAAAATAAAAAAATATACATAAAATATTTCAATGCAAACAAAAATATCAAACATGGCACAAAAACGCGTTTTAGAAACATATTCACAATTTTTTTGCAAATAAACCATCTATCATAATACTTCACAAAACATATCAAAATGCGCGTATTTAATTATTCTTTACGAATATATAAAGATATAATGCCCACCCTTAAACATATTTTTGTTATCAACGCGGAAATTCGGCTGATTTCTCAAAATGTGGCAAGATTGGGCGTCGATATTTAAAAAACTCCATCTTTTATTTTCTTTAAACTCTCCTTGGCACTTTGCAGTGACTTGACATAACCTGTGATGGCAAAAGATTGAGTAACATATGACCTCCAAGCGGGAAAAGCTACGACAAACCTTCACTCGGAGCGAGCCGACGTCTTCGTCATAGCGGCTTTGCCGCACAGCACCAAACGTTTTGAGCGTTAGTTATGGCATGTATTTTATATTATTAAAATTCTTTTTTTCATAAGGGCTGAGTATTAGTGACGCGAAAATGGACTTTGAGCTGGAATACCATTAATTAGCTTACAATTCAGTGGAACAAAACGGCCCCACTGTGCGAATTCGCTAACTATGCATAGATAAGCTTAAAACTCTCAGTTATGCGAGTGGCCATGTATACATCCGGCCTCTCGGCATATGATGACTTCCACAGATGAGAAGCCTGGATTCTTCTCACAGGTTTTATGGTGGTCCACTCTGCTTGCTTTGCCGCTCGAAACTTTCGAACCCGTTCCACAGACAGGTGGAACATGCAGACATTTGTTACTTTTTTACGTAGCGCTTCCACAAAGTCTTTAGCGGTGGCAATCGTTGAGTTGAGCGAAGATCTCAACTTGGTGAGCGTTGTTTCTTCCACCTACTTCATCACAAGCGCTTTCTCCGTGTCCAGTGGCTGAAAAGATCCATCTTGCCGAAGACTGCGGCTTCCGAGACAATTCGTGGAATCGGAAGCGATTCTTGAAATGCGCCGCCGCTCCGTCTGATACAAAAATTATTTCAAAAAAGACTGAGAAATGAACATTAACATACTCTTTTATGGCCTATGTGGCTAGAAGAGCGTGAGCTGTGTCATGCGTCGTGTACCATCGGTGACAACGGCAAAGCTTTGCGTGCCCTGCGTGGACGTAACCACACTTGTGGAGAGAGACACTTGAGTTTTTTTTCAATGAAAACTCTGCACTTCGGTTGGAAAGAGTACTGTCCATTTTTCCGCAAAATCGAAGTGAAACATCACTGCCTTGGGTGGTAAGGCGGTTCTTGTGTCATGTATCAGGCTTCGTTCAAGGTCAAGGATGTAAGAATGCCTCATATACTTTTCGCTCTCCTATTGCCGCAGGAAGGCAGAAGTGTTCATAACCTTTTTGACGAGTTCGCCAGCGTCCCATAACGCGAAACAGATCTCTTCGTCTTCGTCGAGATGAAGCGACTGCAGCGAGATGCTCTGCGTTTTTGGGCACTTTTCGCAACGGCGCAGAAAGCAATCGTTCTGTGGAGCGCAGAAGAGGTAGATGCGCTTGAGGTCGTCTTCAGTAAATGTCTTCTTTGGGGCATTTGTTATTGCCGTTAAAAGCAACTGAAAATTGACGCAATATATGCATGCGCACACCTCGTGCTCGGGACTCTTTTTTTTACCCATTTTGGTCGTAGGGAATAAAATTTGGAGATGCCTAGTTCGGGTTGGGGATGGTCCTTCCTAAACAGCTGGTAAGCTTCCTTAATAGAGCGGGTCATAAACCTTTTTACGACTTTGAACATGTCGTTGATCATGGCTTTGACGACGTCCTTTTTGTCGGGGCTTTGAACAGAGCATGCGAGGTCGTCGCGTGTGTAGTACTCAATTGCAACCCCCACGTTTTCGGCATTCGCCTGTTTCCCCATGTAGGGATCAGGGGTTGCCCAAACACCACCTTTGCGCTTCAGTTTTCATGTTTGATCAATCATGTAGGCAGTCGCTTCCGACACCAGACGCAATATTGTTTTCTTCAAGATGATTGGTGGCAGAAGCACGTACAATCGCTTGCGTTCCTGGTGGGAACTACATGCCTTCAGCACTTCGCAAAACGCGTCAAACCACTCTGCGCAGTGCTCACAACTGTCTTCGAGTTCGAGAGTTTCGTGCGGTGAAGCAAGCAAAGTGGACCACCGTAAAACCTGTCAAAGGAATCCAGGAGACTCATCTGTGAAAGTCACAATATGCCGAGAGGCCAGATGTATACATGGCCATTCGCGCAACTGAGAGTTTTAAGCTTATGTATGATGCATAGGTAGCGAATTTGCAGAGTGGGGCCGTTTTATTCCTGTGAATCGTAAGCTAATTAATGGTATTCCAGCTCAAAGTTCCTTTTCACGTCACTAATAATCACCGCGTATAAAAAAATAATTTTAATAATATAAAATACATGCCATAACTAACGCCCAAACGTTTGGTGCTGTGCGGCAAAGCCGCTATGACGAAGACGTCGGCTCGCTCCGAGTGAAGGTTTGTCGTAGCTTTTCCCGCTTGGAGATCATATGTTACTCAATCTTTTGCCATCACAGGTTAGTTCAAGTCACTGCAAAGTGCCAAGGGGAGTTTAAAGAAAATAAAAGATGGAGTTTTTTTTAAATATCGACGCCCAATCTTGCCACATTTTGAGAAATCAGCGGAATTTCCGAGTTGATAACAAAAATATGTTTAAGGGTGGGCATATTATCTTTATATATTCGTAAAGAATATTTAAATACGCGCATTTTGATACGTTTTGTGAAGTATTATGAAAGATGGTTTATTTGAAAAAAAATTGTGAATATGTCTCTAAAACGCGTTTTTGTGCCATGTTTGATATTTTTGTTTGCATTGAAATACTTTATGGATATTTTTAATTTTTTATGTATGTGTTGTATAACCTTTGTAAAACCTATTAAAAAAGTTATGGTGCCGTAAAAGGTTCGATAAGGAAATGACGACTGTGCAAAGTAGCATTGTGAAATCTTCTCAATTTCCACGCCTCAAGCTTCTCTATTTTATATCTCAGCGAAAAAAATTGTTACGGCGTTCATATCTAGCTGAATGTTCCTCCCAAAAACATGGCTTTCATATATATTTTTAACAAAAATATCTAAATGATGACCCGGACCATCATTGCATGAACTGACGTGGAATCACCCATTTATTGGAAAAATTAACATGACGTGACCAGTGTGCCAATCCAGTTTCCCCGCTAGATTTCATAGGAAAACACATCGCGGCGTTAAAATCATTTATTCATCAACAACGTATTGACGCTAAATCAACGCAACGTCATTTTAATATCAGACCACCGTATGACGCACGATCGGCGCAATGTCAATTGATCGTCAACGTCATACCGTCGAATAAGCTGCAAAGCTATCACTTTCTAACCACATCACGTCGTGTGATCGTCGCGCAACTGTGCGTTTCTTTTTTTACATACTAACTAACGTGCAGAAACTACGGAGAAACAAGTAGACTCTCGGATGACTCTTACCGCTTTCAGGGGGGCACGTTAAAGGCCTTCGTAACAACCTCCTTTAAAGAATCGGCGAATTAGCGGGCGATCTTGCGCTCATCGGCGTGCGTTGGTTCACGGACCCTTTAAAAAAGTTCGTTCCTGAAGGCCTTTAACGTTTCCGTCTGACTGCGGTATAAAGCGCGCAACACATGCGCGTCAAAACTGTCCGATCCGAGGTGCGTACTGCCCGAACGACGTTCGGCCGCGAAAGTTTTCGACGCTCTCCGGTGCTACGGAAACCCTCACCCGCGAACGTCATTCCGGCAGTTCCCATGTCGGATCGGAAAGTTCTGACGCGCATATGTTTTGCGCTTAAGAGTGCAATACATTCCGAGCCATAGCCAGAACACAATTTATCATCCGTCTTCCTTTAGTCGGTTTAACCAATCGGTAGGCTGATAACAATCGAAATCTAACGGCCATGCGGACTGAGTGGCGGACAGGGTTTACACCTTGATGCCCCTGAACTGCATTTTGGGGATGCGACATCGCATCCCCAATATCTCAGTGTTTGGACCATCTAAAGGAAGTGTTTTTTTTTTTTTTTCGGGCGCATCATTTGAAAAGCAGGCACACAGGAGCCTCTTAGGAGGTACGGGTAGACGAACTCTAAGGAAACACCTGGCGTCTACTTTCCCGCCCGAGCACGCGTTAATCCAATCACCGTTGCCACTGAAGCGGAAGCAACAAATCAAAAGGCTCCGAAGACGGAATGGCTTAAAAACAAGAGGTGTGCGAATACCCGTTTGAATCGAATAGCGCAGCGTCATCCTTAGCTTTAACACCGTTAATAAAACCAGTTGTTGCGGCTTTCTCTTCCACTGTTGAGGTTATGAATGCCGCAGTGCTATTCGATTCGAAGTGGTATTCGCACTTCCCTATGTAACAAAAGCATAATGGAGAGCATTAGAGCTGCGCACTGGAGCAAATGCAAGCACTGGTGAGTTTGAGTTAGCGTTGCGTGGTCCATGCTGATCATGCGCGTCGGTGCCACGAGCCAATCTAAGACCGTAATTTGGGCTCCGCGCACGCGCAGTGGAGAACACACAATGCTAACGCAAACGCGAACTTCTTGCGTTCGCTCGTATACGCAATAGAAAAACTCTCTAATCTCTGTAGGAACAAAAAAGCATGACGTTCTGGTTGCTCACTGTTCCTGATCAGATTACGTGCTTCGAATCATGCCGTGTTTTGTGCCTCGTCATTCCCTGAATGACCTATGTAACTTACGATAATTGACTCCGTGTGTTCTGCGAGAAGGCGCAGGCATTTTGTGCGATATAATTTGTTTATCCCGCCTTTCTTCGCAGTTGTACATGATGTCACAGGGTCGCTGCATCTACAACGGCGAGACGAATAACCTCCTGAGCTTCCTCTCTGAACACGGCCTTTCCTGTCCCGAGTTCCACAACCCTGCCGATTTCAGTGAGTTATCCTGTTGTGTGTACGTCTGGACAGCCGGAAGTTAGTCATCCCTAGTGCGCGTCACGAGTTTCCTCTGTAAAGGACACATTTAGCCAGTGCAGTACTACTGCTATCCCTGGGTCTTTTATGTGCGCAAAGGAGTGGTGGTGATACATGACCGCACGTCGGTACGATGCCGATACGATGGAAAGAGGCGGGGGTGGGGGATTGAAGCCAGACTGAATGAGTAGGCTGCTCTGTAGGGCGAGTTTTCGCTCAAGGCGCTCCGAGCTACGTGTTTTCTTATAATCACACTCATTGAAGCTCGGAATAACTTAGTTTCAATTAATAGTGTTCTTTCTTTAATGCATGTCCCTCCCACGGCCATATGCTAAATTTTAGACTTACCATTTCGATGTTGCGATGTGTGCTATTCGAATCTATCCCTTCAAAGTTTGATTGTTTTTTGCGTCTTTTTTTATTTGTTTTTCTTCGTATCTTACCCGCCCCAGATATTAAAAGAGCCCAAGAACGTTCACACACCAGCAGAAAAAGCACAGCATTCCATAACACAGAGCGCTCAAAGAACTTTGCATTTCTCTACTTTTATGCAAAGTCCTCGACAAAGTCAATTAGCGCTATCTATAAGAAAAGTTCCGCGGATATTGAGGCAAAAAAAAAGAAATGTTTGCCAAAATTGAAGTCAACTACGTGGCACTGGGCATGAGGCCAGGCATCCTACCCAGCGCCACATCGCATACTTAATTTTTAGTTAAGAATATATTTCCCACTCGTAACTGGCTGCGCTTCCACCACCAGATATACGTATATAATTGAATCTCCAAATCTTTGTATAAAGAAGAAGCATGGAATTTTCTAGAGTACGAAGTGCTTGCTTCCAATAGACACATAATCAATCGTACGAGCAACACTGCATGGCTAAGATACCTATTCAAACGCACTTTTATGTTAATTAAAAAAGAAAACATTAGAAAGTCCAATTTTCTCATGATGGTGACAGCAGACAGGCCCCGGAAAGCTTTCCCAAGTTGAGTCATCAGAAGTGATACTGACCCAAAACGGCAGGCCATTCGTTTGTTCATAAACACACACCAAAAAAGGGGAAAAAAAAAAGGCTGGAGAAGATATTTTATTTATTGCCTTTTTTATATTTGCAGTCACCGAGGTTGCTGCTGGGGAGTACGGTGAACAGGTCGAGAAGCTGGCCGACGAATTCGCCCTTCCATTACCCGTCACATCGGGTGTCCTAGATGTTGGGTTTAAAACGGCGTACGGCGGACAACAAATGACCAAACAGGTTCGACCACGAATTGTCCTACCTTCGCATCTCCATACCTTCTGCACGCGTACTGTTCTGCTGCGCACTCAAAGCGCCACTCACTGGTCTTGCTTTAATCAGATTAGCGATTAAAAACGACGCGGTCGGCACCGTGTGCTATGGTGGTCATGCAATCGGACGACCGCCATATCACTGGAGCAAAATAGAGATAAAAACTAAAATCGGTTCCATTGACTAAAATATAATCAATGATTCGTGCTGCCAGTGCGTTAAGGAAAACTACTAAGGCTGCTTAGCGCTTGTACCGTCAGTTCGTTCTTGACCTTCGCGCTATTTATTTCGAAAATGCATATCCAACTAGCCCACCTTAATATTTTAGTGCTTAGAGTATATGTAAGGTGTTATAAATCGAAGGGCCCGCTCTAAACTGAGCCAGAAAAATCGGAACTTGCACGCAAGGATAACATTCACTATAGGTGTATTTGTGTGGTGCCTGTGCTTGTGAAATTTCAAGGCGTAGTGCCATTATTTTGAAAAACTTACACCAACACTCTCAGCATCTTCAACGACGGTGGCCGATGCAATCGACCGAGTTAACAGGGGATTACGCATGTGGCGCCATCTCCCGGTAGACGCAGAAAGTGGATGAGGGCGTCGCATGCTTGCTACACCTATAGGTAGGTGACGCTGCAAGCACAGCCCATGCAGAGAGCCCATGGTTAGTGGCCCTACCCATATTTAACTTAGTTGTCTACCGCGCTGTGCTTCGTTAAAAATGTCAAGAGTGGTGGTCCTATTTTTCAGAGGAAGGGCGCTACGCCTCTAAATATCTCATGGTAAAATGAACCCCTGCAGTACACGTCTCGTGAAGTGGTGACGTCATTCGGTGCAAGTGCCGACTTTTCCGACTGATCTTAGAGCGAGCGACCCCCTCGACTAACAGAACTGCAGTTTATATCAGTTTCTAATATCCTAGTTACACTAGAGCTCTTAACTGTCATTAAGTCAACGACAACTTTTGAGTTTGGGGCTGCATATAAAAGACTGAAAAATGATTGTCCCCTGCGTCCGCTCCTGCAGACGTACAGCTAATTCAATATAAATTAATTGGATCCTTCGATCAGAAGTATATTTACTATAAAAAGCCAATCCACGATTTGCAAAATAGTGCGCGCCGTTTATCGCGCAATGCCGGAAACTTCGACCTGTTGGGTGCGAGGCTGGGAAGTGGTTGGAATACAACTAGGCTTCGCGATGCATGGCTTGGCATGATACATGTGGGGCGTAAAGCTGGTGCACGCAGTCTATTCCAAGCGTTGCCTCGAGACCCAGATTGAATAGTGTGGAAAATTCTCTCCAGGAGCGTATGAATACGACGTACCTGTGAAAAAATGTGCACTGGAGATTTATCAGTGCTCGTTCGGCTGCCATGGTGAGCCGTCCATGTTCCTTCTCCTCACGGCAGCTGTCCAAGCCTGTCTTAGCAGGATACAGCCTGGCAGACGAAAATCTGAAAAAAAAAAAACTTAGCGTTCTCTTTACCATGAAAGTGATTCGCACAACCATATCCAATACAGTGCGCCGGCATGGCGACAAACAAAGCGACTCGCGAGCTTTCTGCGTCCTTGCTCACACTGTCCTCGCTTCCGCGCCTCTGTCGCTGCCTAGGAATAGCCGGCACGCCTATTTGTTTTCCAACCAAACAGGGGGCGCTAGCAACACGCTCTGCTCGCGCATGCGCAGCAGCTTTTTTGCAAGTTGTGGACTGGGAACTATGGAAAAAAAATAGAACTGGGCTTCCACAATGTTCCGACGGCGACTGTTTAACGTACCCGCGCTTGGTCGAGCCCAGCGTGTATTCGAAGTGCCCGTCGAGACGGGTGGCGCGAGCTTCCCTCGTGATGTGTTCAGTGGGGCGCCGTGAACATGCTGTGCTCACCCCATGCTCGAGTGATGCCACCACGTGCTGCCTCGCCAGACTCTGTCTATTCCTCTGCTGGCGTTATTAAACGAAGGATACCTACTGAAACGTCGCCTTTAAATAAGTATTTATTCGTCCGTAAAATGTGATGTTCATGCGAACTATGGTTGTTTGCGATCAGCCGCGTGGGAAATCAGGCGAGCAATATGATTGCCTCGTCCTACCGTTGTCTCACATTGAGGCTTCATGGGACAAAGTTCCAATTGTGCCCTGCCATCACCCTTTTAGTTTTGACGGCAGAAAGAAACTTTTTCGTCCCCCTTTACAGTTCCGTGCCAAATAGTGAAGGTACGCTTGACGCGTCGCGACGATGTCGTTCCGCTTGATCGGCGCCGAGCTTCGCGCCCGAGACCGATCGACGTTGCCGATGTCGCCACGTGGTGGAGCAGACGACGCGCTATTTTCTTGACAGCGGAGGCGCTTGTAGCGGCCGCATTACACCGGTGGCCGCGAAGTACGTCCGCCAGCCTCTGCCGCACTACGTGTCAGCTTCCTCCGTCTTTCGTATTCGGAATACGACAATGTTTTGCGTGTGGTTCTGCACAGCATAACATACAACCCCTCCCCGTATTTCGTGCGCCGGAACACATATTTTTTCACGATTCCGGCATACCAATCCGGAATACGGGTCGGTTTGGACCGCGCATAACACCGGACAACTTAGTTGAGGTTAGTGACAGTTGCGAGATGCCAACGACCGTCGGTTTAAGGACTGTTGAGAGCGCTCGTATAACTAGGGTATTAGACGCGTGTGGTTCACTGACATGTGGCTTCCTTCGCAGGAAAGACTGGAAGCAGTAAAATGCTATTCCTTTGAAGTGAACCAGTTTCGGCAGTTCCGAATACTGCTGAAGCGCTGCTGGCTTTCGGCAATGAGGAACAGGGTACGTCACAAATCTGGTTCCTGTGTACCTTTGTGAGCGCCAACGGTCGCAGCGGCATGTAGCCTCGATTTCGCCGTGTACGATGAGCCGCAGAGGACGCTACGAGCAATCAAAGCCAGTCCGAGGCCGTGTAAGAGTCACGTGACCTTTAAGAGGGGCGCAGCGTCGCGCGATGTGCGCAGTCACGTGGTACGCTTGTGCAGTACTGAACTGGTTGGGAGTGCTCGTACTGCCCAATGCGGTCCATCGCATAAGGTGACGAACATGAGAGGGTGAAGGGAGGGGACGGGAGAAGTTTTGTGTCTCCTTTGTTGCCTCCTAAATGATTTCATCTACTAACCATAAGACCTCCTCAGAAGAGGGGTGTGAAGGGACAACGTCCGTGTTGTCGGCGGACGATAAGTGGAAGCTCGTTTAATTCTTCCCAGTCAAGAACAAGCTCCTATTTGACGACCAGGGGCACACACTTTAGTGACTGACAGCTAAAAAACATTGGGCGTGGCGAGACTCGAGCAAATTATTTTCCCTCTGCAGCCAATGGGATTGTCACTTCGGCCAATAAGAACGCCAAATACAAAATAACCAGGAAAGAAGCGTGATTTTAATAAGCTACATCATTTGCTTCAAAAAAAAACAAAAAACACTGCAATGGAAAAAAAATTTTAAGGGACAGCTATATACTTTTTTACATACGACAAAAAATGTTTTAGCAATATTTCTGCCGTTACGAGCCCTCCGTTTCCTAAGCTGGGCGGTGACAATACAAGACTCGGAGTTTGATTCTTCCGTACAATATGCTGCGGTGCAGGTGACGTTCTTGGTCCGCTTCATCGCGTACATCGCCTTCGCTCTCATGACTGTCGTCACATTCTACGGCGTCGGGAGGAAGGCTTCCACGGTGGTCAACAATACGGTGCTGTTCTTCACGATAATCCTCGTGTCGGCAATGCAGACAATGCTGCCGGCGGTGATCATCTGTGAGTCATTTGACCTTACGATTCGCTTTGAAGCAAGTAACCTACATTTTATGAACGCCACCTGAAATAATTAAAACCCGCGCATTTTGACGTCATGACGGTGAGATCAAGGACAGGCGCAGATAGGACAAGAAAGCCGGTGGCAGTCAGTTCATCGAACGACGTTCCATCGACAGATCGTTTTATCGACACGCGATGTTTCATCGACAGGTTGTTTCATCGACAAATCATTTCGTCGACAGCTCAGATTAGATTTTTTTCTGTAATAAGCTGAATAAGACTGTCGCCGCGAAGGGGCGTGACCAAAAGCGGGAAAGGGGGGGGGGGGGGTGTTAACGCACACTTTAATGATACACGCGTGACGAAATGTCCCTACAGCGTGCAATTCGCGTAACGAGTGTCGCTGAAGCGATCGTGTCGACGAGACGTGTGTCCATAAAACGTTTCTCCATGAAAATGTGTAAAAGAAAAAAGTGAAAGCCGTTTACAACTCCCTGTAACGCCAAATAGGAGCGCAGCTCTTGAGGAGGAGGAGGGAAGGGTACTGAGGGGAGGGTAGATCCCTCCTCCTCCTCCTTCTGCTGTTCCTCCCCTCATTCTTTAATATGCGCCGGGGGGGTCACCTGACCTCGGGGGGAGGGGGGTCACGTGACCTCCGGGGGGGGGGGGGGGTCACGTGACTTCGGGGGGAGGGGGTCACGTGACCTCGAAGAAGGGGCCACGTGACCTCGGGGGTCACCTTGGGGGTCACGTGACCTTGAGGTGACTTTGGGGGTCACGTGACCTTGGGGTGATTTTGGGAGGGGTCACGTTACCTTGGGGGGTCACGCGACCTTGGGAGGGGTCACGTGACTTTGGGGGTCACATGACCGGGGGGTCACGTGACCTTGGGGTGACCTTGGAGGGTCACGTGACCTTGAGGTGACCTTGGTTACGCCGACGGCGACGCCGACGCCGCTCAAGCCGGAAACGGGCGCCTTAGAGCTGCGCTCTAAAACGTGATTCCACAACACGAGTTTCGACGAAATGATAGAGACCTTTTGATAGAGACCCTTTGAAATCCCCATTAAGTAACATTGGTGGCTGCCATTTCTGAGATCTTCCTGGCGATACCCCACATTGCGAGGGAATAGTCAGGGGTAGAAAATTTGCTTAGAAGGGCGGGAGAAATCATATGTTTGTATTCTTATGCTAGGTGGCCCAAGCTACCGCCTGTTACAAAGGGTATAGCCATTAACATCCGTTCATTGGGCACGAAGTGCGTGATTATGTCGGAATCCTGGTCGAACGCTGACCCAGCACTCGTGTTCGATAAGCTGAGTCGAGCTCAATTTTAACACTGACGTAGCCCTCGCATTCAATGCATGCTTTGATTTCGTTCCCAAGCAAAGGCAGACTCGGATAATGGACCTTTCTGAAAAGTAGTGCGCGCCCTCAAGCGGTGCGCGTTAGGTATTATGGGAACAGTGAGGGTCGCTGCTCCGTCGTCTGCTGCTATACCACCTGCGAGAACCACGTTGCCTACTTTCGCGTTGGGTCTCGTTGGCAGACGGCAATTTTAGCAGCGTCCTGTGCTGCGCTGTGTTACCCACACGAGATGATAAATCGTCAATCACAGCACGTCACCGTCCTTTTTTAATGGGTCATCGTACGTGGGTCACGCGCCAAAAGAGCGAGGTATCACTGATGCACCCAACGTGTTTTTGTTTTAATTTTTTTACACCGACAGCTGTTAGTAGCCTAGAGGACCTAAAGGCGCATAAAACATGACCGAAAAGACATACAACACGGACTGGCGCTAGCTTTCAACTGGTTTAATGAAGGGAAACCACCCAGCACACATACGTGAACATTATTTTTTATCATGTCAACCCCCTGCGATAAAAGTAACCCAGAAACACAAACAACAGATGTCAATGATTTAAACATTTGTATCAGCTCAACGTGTAAAATAAACAGTAGCGCTCAGGCTTCTCAGAGAATTGCAGCTTGAGAGCGTTAGAAAGGCTGCGAAGGAGGCGGAGAAAGGTTTTCTGGAGTTGTTTTTCACTGGAAAGACGGATATACCTCAATGCTCTACTTGTCATTGTTCCTGAGGGTGGCACGTTGCAAGTTCAGGTTAGCCGATTTTTACAGCGTCACATGAGTGGATAGCAAAGGATGATTCTTTTTTGGTTCAGAGCTCAAATGAAATAGTGTAAGTTTTACAGATGGGAATGCTGAACGCGCATTCGGCATTCTCAGTTGATGTAGTGTGTCTGTTTTATTCGGTACCACACGGAGGTCTCTTTAATGCTGTTCGGGACAAGATCAATCAATCAGGAGAAATTGGATTTCAAAATTCTACAACCTGATGTCACGGGACCTAATAAAAAAATTATTTCCCGCTAAATTTAGCGGAAAAATTGATATCACGTCATATATGCATCAATTCAGTTTCCCCGCTAAATTCAGCAGAAATATTGGCGTCACGTATGTACCAATTCAGTTTCCCCACTAAATTTAGCGGGTAAATTGATTTTACATGACCTGACGTCACGGGACCTATAGAAAAATTAAAGTTCCCTGCTAAATTTAGTGGAAAATGGATGTCACGTGACCTAGCTGTGCACCGATTTAGTTTCCCCGCTAACTTTAGCGAAAGCATTGACGTCAGGTAACCTATGCCCCAATTCAGTTTCACCGCTACATTTGGCGGTAAGATTGATATTACGTGACCTGACGCCACGAGATCCTACAGACGAAATCAGGTTCCCCGCTAAATTCAGCGTAAAAATTGGCATTACGTGACCTATTTCGACTTCGCCGCTAATTTTTTTTTTTTTAATTTGGCGGGAAAACACATTTTATTTTATATTCCTTTATTCATTAACAACGTATCCACGCTAAATCAACGCAACGTTATTTCAATATCAGATCACCCTATGACGCACGATCCTCGTAATATCAGTCGACTGTCATCGTCATACCGCCTTGTCTGGTTTTACGTTGAACGCATTGATCGGAAGCACGCCGCAGTTCCCGGATTTGTCGGTTTCCAACAAAATCAATTCCGCACGATCCAACGTTCGTACACCAACCAAAAGCTCGACTTTCCGACTTAAAAGAACTGTCAACCACATAGGTCAGCCTCTTTCACAACTCATCAACAAACGCAAAACGCTCATCTGAAGAAGGAAGCTTATGCGCCACTTTGTGAATACAATATCAACTCGCGACGGTTTGACGTTTTGACGAAATTTGGGGCCCCCCTGTAAGACCCGTACGGCGGAGGACGACAACGGTACGGCACACGGATTGCTAATCCTGTCCTCAGTAGACTCCATGGCACCACTGGGATCCCAGGTCGCAGAACCAGGTAGGCGCCGTCACCGGGCGGAAGCCACTGAGCGCGCGAATGCAGGGGCGAGTTTGAATTTGTAGATGTGCACAGCCTGTATGCCTTGGTTTGTGCTTAAAAATGGAATGGGAACTAACTACTAGCGTTGGACAAAGTAGGCGGCAAAAGAAGACGGATTGTGAAAGAAGGAGACAGGCTGCCGAATCCAGTGAAACAGCGAAAGCAGCGTCAGGCAGAGGATGCCGCTGGCGTTTCCCAAGGGTCGTGCGAACGCATTCCGTAGGATTTACCAATGGATATTCCTTTATTTCTGTGTGCAGCCGACTTTTACTTCTTGCCTGTAAGCAATGTGCACCAATCCTTAAAGACGTCAGCACTATTTGCAGCCTGGTTGTGGAATATTTGCCATTTCGTAGGTACACTGCCTGGCGGCAATGACGGTGTGGAAGGAGCTTCCGATATGCGCTTTGAAACTTTAGATATTTTTCTAATATTTCGGTTTGTTACTGGTTCGGGTATATTATTTAATTGTTTGTGATTTTCCGCGGTCAAGGAAAACACCGGTATGTTTTATAATGTCGGAGTCCCACTAAAGCGACAAACAAAAACAACCAACAAGGACAAGCCTCCAACACATGCAGCATGCTCGCGATGGTACCTTTGGAAGGCGTTTAGTCATTCGGTGCTCGAGAAGTAAGCACGAGTGATTGCAAGCCTGCCGAAGATACCCTCGCGTGCATGATGCTCGTGTTTGAGCATAACCTCCTTTATTCTACAAAAACTGTCGAAATGCGAAAGACTCTGGTTTGAGGATTGTCGCTGTCGTTTGTTTCTGTTCGCCGCTCTGGTGGAACTCGGGCATTAATGGTTTTCGAGAGTCTTTCAACGCTCAGTGGCGACTACTTCAGCAAGAGACGCCTGGCAAAATCGTATGACAAACCACGAACGTCCTGGTTGGAGAGTAGGTTGTATTAGGTTAGGTTAGCATGGTGTCTGCATCAGCCGACAAGAAGGATGAGAAAGAAACGACGAAGCGCGCGAGAAGCGGGAACATTATAGGCCTGCGTTTCTTATTTTGTCAGTAGCTATAAGCCTATCCCCAGCTTTGTCATTCGCTGAGCTTCCTTTCTGGAGTGCAGTGATTGGCTCTTCCGTGTACTTTGCTGGAAAGCAGGCACTCCAGATTTCTTAAACTGTACTTGCTGCTGGTAACGAACTTTCGTCTTCCTTTCTTCAGTTCCCATCGAGCTGGGCGTGCTCCTGCGGGAAAAGCGCAACGACTGGTACACCGTTAACCTCTACTACCTGGCTAGCTACGTCAACGAGATCCCATTTCTCGTGAGTATATCTTCGACAAGATTGATGCCTGGATGACCGAAAAGGAACGCTTCCCCGTTCATCTAGAAGATTCGTGTTTACTCTTATACCGAGTGTAAAAGAAAAGAAGGCCGGAATGACTTTACCTCTTCAGTCTCTTCTCAGCTCATTCCCGGACATTCTAGGACGAATCTTCAAGAAGCCCAGTTCAGTAATTAAGGAGCGATTCCGTCAATCTCGCACTAGCCGGATGTCACACCGACGCGGCGTCATTCGCTGCTGCCGCCGGCGACGCTCGCTGGTGTGTTCTCGATGTTTGCTCTTTCTTATGTTTCTGGCACAAGTTTGCCGAGTAAACCTTGAATCTCATTTTATTATTGATCGTGTCGCCGCCTTCATCCGTAACACTTCTGCTCCTTATCTACTAAACTTGCTTGCGAACCTCAAGGATCCATCAGGACGCCTTGCCCGATAAATCATACGACTACAATAATTCGACGTGTCCGTGGTGTGGAAGTCTGACCTCTAGCACAAAGACGCGGACTGTCTGTCTAGGAACCCCGTCGAGTCAGCTCTCCGCAACGACGGCGATGACGAGGGCAGTTTTTTCGGCGCAGTCAACGTCGACGATATGGCGCTACTCCAACGAGCCGACCCTGAACTGCGCGCATTGATCAATCATCTGGAAGGAGGAGGAAGTAGAGATCTCCTTGTCTTCTTGTGAGCGCTGACAAGCTCAGACGTCCGACAAGGCGTGCTTCATAAAGATAACTTCGTGGACAACGATTCAGCGTGGCTTCTGGCAATCCCCGCCGGTCTCCGACAGGAGATCTTTGACGCCTGGCACGACGACCCGAAGGCAGGGCATCTTGACCACAGCAGGACACTGGCACGAATCTGCGAAAAGTACTTCTGGCCCTAGTTACCGAAAACCATCCACCAGTACACAAGGTCTAGCCACGAACGCCAATGACGCAAGAAACCACCAACAAATCCTGCAGGACTGTTGCGACCAATCGCACCGCCGACCGCCCCATTCCAGCAGATCGGAATGGATCTACTCGCGCAATTTACAACGTCGACGCAAGAAAACTGTGGACTGTCGTCACGACGTACAATCTCACTCGATACGCAACGACGAAAGCCCTTTCATTCGGGACAGCTCTGGAAGTCGCCAAGTTCTTCATTCAGTCTATCGTCCTCCGTCACGACACCCCTCAAGTACTGATTACAGACCAAGGAACAGCATTTACGGCTCAGCTGACTTGGGAGGTTCTTCGGCTCAGCCAAACCAGTCACCGTCGAACCACAGCGTACCACCCGTTAACCGCTCACAGAACGTCTAAACAAGACCCTCATCGACATGATTTACATGCACGTCGACGTGGGGCACAAGTCATGGAACGAAGTGTTGCCGAATAAAACGTTGCCGTACGTCGCGTTTGCTCATAACACGGCAGTTCAAGAAACCATCGGAGTGACGCCATTTCAGCTGGCGCATGGCAGAAAAATGACGAAGATGCTTGACTCGATGCCGCCTAATGAGCCAGTTGACAACGGGACTGTAGACGCCCAAGCGATCAGTCAGCGGAGTAGGTGCGCCACCTAACCCGCCAGCGGATTTAAGAAGGTCAACAACGTGTCGACGCTAGCCGGTACAACCTCCTCCGACGTGACGTTCATTTTCAACCGGTAGACAGAGTGTGGGCGTGGACACCGATACGACGCCGCGGCCTTAGCGAGAAGTTCTAGAAGCGCTACTTCGGACCGTACAAAGTGCTTCGTCGTCTCGAAGACCTGAACTGCGAGGTGTTTCCAGACGGAACACGGTCGTCAGAGCGCCACCAGCCGCGACCCTAAGCTGTGCATGTCGTGCGTCTCAAGCCGTTTTAGGCTCGGTGGCGATAGGACTGAGGACTCTTTACAGATAATACAAACCCACAGTTTACTGTTTGCCGTTATTTATTGTGGTAATTTGTTTAAGTTTGTATCGGGACGATGCACTTTTAAAGAGGGGAGTAATGCCGCGTGCATGACCGAGGAGAAAAGCCTCTCCATTCATCTAGAAGATTCGTGTTTGCTCTTACACCAAGCGTTGAAGATAACGAGGCCGTAATGGCCTTGCCTAGTCAGTCTCGCCTTAGCTCATTCCCGAACATACTAGGCCGAATCTTCGGGAAGCCGAGTTTAGTAGATAAGGAGCCTAGCGCGGTATTACCGATTCATTCTTTCTTGCACAAGTCAGCTGTCACGCCGACGCACCATCGCTCGTTGCTGCCACCGTCGACGCTCGCTGCTGCTTTCTCGATGTCTGTTCTTTCTTCTTTTTTTTGTAACACAAGTTTGCTGATTAAACCTTTATTTTCAATTTATTATTCATCATCTCGCCCTCTTCATCCATGACAATATGATTTACCCAACAGACCTTTCCGAAAAACTTCAAGAGGCCTGTCAATGCCACAATCCACCGCGCGGCGCGGGGAAATATGGGTCCGTTCCGATGTACTCTCGAGCCGGCTCCTACACTCCGCATATACTGAAAGTGGCTTAATTATTTTTCTCCTACCAGTGCGAGGTCAAATTTGAAACAAAACAGAGCGAATACATCACAAGGTCAATATATACACGTACTCTGCATTATTTTGTAATCTAAAATTGTCAAATCCTAAACAAACATATAACGCTCCTTCTACTTAGGGTGGCTTCTTTTCGCACTGTACATCAGATCGCCGTAGTGCATCGAAAGGGAGCTGGGAGGCACTGCGTATTTTTGGAATTATATATTGGCCGCGAAGATGAATGCGCAAGGAGCGGTCGCTTTTCGACTACACCTTGATGTTTCTTTTTGCTTTTTAACAGATAACGCCGTTTACGATCTTCCTGGCGATCATCTACTACCCGACCGGACAGCCCCTCGAGTGGTGGAGGGCCGCGGCGATGCTTCTCTTCGGCATCCAACTCGGAGCCGTCATGCAGTCCGTGGGCCTCATGGTTGGTGCCTTCGCTCAAGCACAGGTGACGGGATCCCATTCACACTTTACATTGACTATATCTTGGGTCGATGATGTTCAACCGAAGCGCACCTTTCGTACGCCATCTTTATTGTTTTAAAATATACTACAGACCATACAACTTGTTTAGAGAATACTACAAACCATACGCAGAAAGTCAAGAGGTGAGCAGCGACTATTGTAACTGGTACGGTATTCCCATTACATTAAGCTCAGGATTCTCGACACCAAAGCGTAGCACGCAACTAATGGAACGGTTTTTGTTTCCGTCGCCTCAATCGTCTGCTGCAACCGGTTCTCTAAGAACATATTTTACGCAACATGGAGGGCGCTGCACGTTTTGCAAAATCTTTTTAAGGTCGCCCCAAAACGCCAAGGTGTGGCCCGCCCTCGCCATTTCAGTTCTACTGCGATTGCGACAGCGCGTGATAAAATCACTCGGGAATTCGTTTCGAAGTGGAGAACGTCGTCTTAACCAAGAACCGTGCACATGAGAGGGACTATAGTGCGCGCAGAACGGTTCCTGACAATGATTCCACTCTCAAGCGTTTGTCGTACGTCTCCTTTACTGCAGGGCACTCGCAGAGCTTATTCATGCAATCTACTAGAGAGGTGAGGGAATTATGAGACACAGACCTTTGTAAAGAACTAAAAATGAAGTATGCCATGGGACACGGAGCAAGCTGAAACGTCATGCTCGGTGGTTTCCCATTCAAGATTTCACCTTTAACACTGATTGGCTGGCCAGTAAACGAGCTGTTATTTCGTAGAGTGTTTTTTTGTTTTTTTTCAGGCAGAATAAACTTTTAGTTTTCAGTTCGCGCCTTTTAGGTATCGTGATATGGTGTATGCAGTCTTAAAAATGACCGGGGGTGGCGCAAACGTTTTTTCGGAGCACTTGGAGTCCTAATATGCGCCATCAACAGAAGAAGCTCGGCGAATAGCAAGGCCGAAAATATCTCCAGATATTAAAACGGAGTTTGCGATGGCTAAGCATGGTATGTTTCACAAACCCGCGTCGTGCTCAGTGTCAGATCGCAAGCTTCACTGTTAGGTCTAAACAAAAACTCGACCTACTTTCACAAAGATAAGATAGTATACTTGGCCATGAGTTTATTAGATGGTGATTTGGTTCTTTACCTCATTGGGTTTCTTTCAATAAATGTTTTGTTCACAGTTCAGCGCTCGTCCTGCAGACTTCTGTATGTTGCGAGTTGTTTCATATATGTATATTGCTTAAGCACTAAACAACTCCCCCACGTCACCACTCTGGTACATATATTCGGCACAATCTTTTTATGGGGTTGTTTCGTAGATTGCACTGCTTGACTCTATAAGTGCTCCGTGCAAAAAGTGTACACTCGGACAGTTTTAAGACTGCACGCTCCAAAAACTCCCTGATCGTTCATTTTCCAATAAAGCCCGTGGCGGCCCAATGACTATACTCAACGGCACAGCCAAAATCGGAGGTTCTCTAGAAAAGACAATTTGGGCATGGGCCATGAACACAGTGTTTCTTCCTTCTTGCTCATAGTCCCTGCATATATGTTGGGTCTCTGAAATGCCAAGGCTCGAACTAAAATGGTCGTGAAAATCGGTGCCTGCACGTAGCAATCTAAACTTTTTGTCGAAAGGGTATCTCACAGCTGGGTTTTACCTCGTGAAGTTACAAGACGCAGCTCCCTTTCTCTAGAACATAGGGCCAAAAACCATGCCATAGCCAACGGTGAACGGCGACGCAGACGCCCGACGGAGTCGAGTGGCGGGGTGCGTTTTGACCTTTCTGCCTCCTCATTTCCCGAGTGCGCGGCGTAGATGCCCACCATGCGCAATGTGGCCGAGCTCGTCGTCCCTATTTGTTGAACTCTTTGATTCACTGAAAAGCGAGCCAACATTGCTCGTCAATTTCACCAGGAGGCACAGCATTACAATAATTCCGGAACAAGAAGAAAGCTAGCGATTGCCTAAGAAACGCAGGCCGTTCCGAGTCTCGGGTTTTTTATTAGCGCTGCTCAGCCAGTGAGGTTGCGGCATTAGCCGATAAGGACGCCGAAGGACGAATTATAAAGCAAGAACCGCGAACTTAAGAGTCCCTGCGTTCCTGAAGCTGTCAGTTATATTTATTTCCTCTGTTGTCCACCACAATATCCCAAGTTTGTTTGTGTGCCCTCCCTCATTCCTTCCTCTCTCGGTTTCAGACGGCGGTATTTGCCGCCACTGCCGTATCGTCGCCGTTCGTCTTTTTTAGCAGCTTCTTCGTTCCCGACTATCTGCTGAGCTCTTGGTTCCGCTGGATAACAAAGCTGTCCCCGGTCCACTACGCCTACCACGGGATGCTTCTGTCGGTGTACGGCTACGGCCGCGCCCAGCTGGACTGCGACAAAGACCTGTGCGTTTTTGAGAACCCCGAAAACTTTCTCGATATCACCGGAACCTCTGGTATGACGCTGACCGGCATATTTCTGCCGCTCCTGGCACTCGAAGTGGTGTTTAGGTTACTCGCGTACATACTTCTCAGGTTGAGAATTTCCAGAAAATAACAGAGTTCAAGTTCTATACCCGCTGCTTCTAATATGTTTTTTTGTTTTGTTTTTTAATGTGAAAGCATTAATTGTCTTCTGGAGCGAGCCGACGTCATCAGCTGCGCCAAACGGCAGATAAATTTCCGAAGCCGCGATCTGAGGCATCCCAGCTTTGAAACCACGCAGAACGCCACGCAAAACGGTAGTGATATGATGCCGCTGCGCGTCAGTTTCAATTAGCGCCACCCAATGGCGCTGCGTTGCCGCGCCGGAGCCGAAACGGCGCGGCCGTTTCTGCTCTGGCGCGGCTTTGAATCGCGGCTTCGGGTCGCAGCCGGACGCCGAGAGGATCAGAAGCGGCCGCGGGCGCCGAGAGGATTAGAAGGGGCCTCGGTGCCGAGACGATCAGAAGTGGCCGCGGCGCGAAACACGACATTCATGCTTTCGCATTCACAACTCATAAGAAGTGCTTAGGTGTACCTAGAAACTTCTGTTACTAGAGCGATTTAGTCAAAAAGGACAAGAGGATTCGACCCCGTAAACGCACGTGCTAGAGCGAAACAAATAAAACGTTGAGCGTCTAGGCAGCTTTTAATTGATGTTCCTATGAAAATAGGGAGACTATACTACTCCGTTTCACGCCAAGTCCCACTGCAGCTGGCGCTATGACCCGATGTAGTAAATGTAAATCAAGCAGCGCTAAAATTGCATCGTCACGGGAAGTCACTGTTCTTTGGCGTCTTCTGTTCCCTGCTAAATCAACCACGCACAGTAAATGTGACATGATCCTGTCTCTTTTTTTTTTGCGTGCTTGGTTTAGTTTCTAATAGTAAACCTGCAAAAGAGAACGAACACCTTGACAATGGACGTTTGCCACTGCTGGATTAGTTTCAGCGGATTGATAGCGTTCGCTGGGATCGAACTTAAAGGAGCAATGCAACGATATTCAATTGGAATGTTTTTCACTTAACACGAGCTTACTGGCACTAGTGGGACTCAAGGATGCTCGCACGCAACGCCACTGGCCAAGAAACGCCTTTGTTGCGGTGTAATTTCAAGGGCAAAAGTGATAATTTTCATCCAATCTCTCATTGGCGAAATTTTATGACGTAACGTGGGGATCGGAGTACACCCCAATGACGATATTTGAATGTGGTTCATAGATTGGACCCGAGCATTGCGGGGACGCTCGATATGGGCTCGTGATAATTACTAGCTCGAGAAGCATTCTGGCAGTGGCCCGTGTCCAATCGCTGCAACGACGACAGTGAGCCGAGCCATAACAATGTCTGGAACTCAGCGCGTGTCCTGTGCTTTGCCAACCCCAGCGCGTGGCTATGATCAACATTGGCGGCATATAATCGGCTCCAGATCACGTGGCCGGTTGTTCTGGCTGCGAGTTGAGGGGGTGAACGCTGCTGGTTTTTCTATAATTTTTTCCGGGACTTCTATTGTGTGGAGTGAAAAACGAACGGGTGGTTCATAGGTCATTAACGTCAGGGATCCGTTCTAAGTGGTACTTGCGCAAAGTACAAAAATTGTCGCATCGCCCCTTTAAAGGCTTCGATGCTTTGGTTGGGCGTGCCTGCGCGTTGGCTCTTGTGTTAACAAGGGCAGAAATCTCGCGCTAAAGGCAGAGCTTCGGCTCTCAGCTTAAGGATGAACGGAGCATAGTGGCGAAAGGATTGGATGTTCTTTTGTCATTTCGACAGCACTACCACTGAGGATGGCAAAACTGCTGGCCCTTCTGACTGGCTACACCGATAAAACAAATGCAAGAACGAATGCCTGATAGTGCATAACAGTAGGATATAATATTTATTTTTCCTCTCGTAGAATTCAATAATAAAATAAGTTTCGATAGTTAGTGACGAAATTAGAACGGCAGGGAGTGTGCTTCGAACGCTCGGCCACCAGCACGCGCTCCGTGCCTTCCGCCGTGCTCTGGTTGCGCGCGCGTCTCGAGGTACACGATACGCTGAAGTGTTTTCCGTTGTCCGAGGCAGGAAGCTCGTGGGAGGCGGGACATCTGAAGCTCCGCTTGCCGTTCCCATCCCTTTAGTGACTTTAAAACAGGTTACAAAGTCTACCAGTGTGCTTTAATTCGAATGCTCTTTGAAACAGTGATGGTGTCTTAACATGATTGTCTGTCTCACAAGTTGTGTGTAGTAATGTTGGTATACGCATATGTGTTGCCTTCCTGCGTATTTGAAAGAAGTTATGTTCTCACAAAGTAAAAAAGAGCAGAGAAACAAGACGAAGGGACTATGAAATTTATTTTCGGCTGGGATAAATGGGGATTTTAATAATCGCATATCGTTTAGTGCGCCAAAAGAAAACTAGTGCACGAGGGTAGAAATCCAAAACCCTGCGTTTCGGTAGGAAACTTTGATAGTATAGCGTGCTATGTCTTACCTCATTTCCTTCGAACGCTCTCCGCCTTTTCACCGTCATGCATCCGTGGAGCCCGGGCACGTCAGCCCAACCCAGCTCACGCATGGGACACGAACACTGTGTTACTCGGACATTTCCGCTCGTCAACAGTCCGTTGACGAATGTCAGAATTTCCATTTGTGACCAATAAGTGCCGTGATGGCACTTATCGTCACTTGCGAATGAAAAGTTATATGGTGGGCTTAAAAAAAATAACGGGTTAAGCTTGGAGTCATCGCATCTGGTGCCCAATCATGTCACGACCACGTGATTTCTCATTTCGATTTTGAGTTGAGGATTAAAGTTAAGGAGGAAGAAGTTGAAAAATCATTTCATGGTTTTGACCGTTGTATGGAATTTTGTCGCTTTTTGTGTAAAAGTTGTGTTACTTTTTTGTAGGGTCGTGCTCATGTATGTTAGTTACTTGCAACCTTGACGCAACGGCTGAGTACTGTCATGTTTTGTAATATGCTAGTTGTATATTGTATTAATGTTTAATTATGTATAGATCACATCGTCTAGACGTATACATTATTTGACTGCGCCACATTTCAGACCGAGGGTTGTTTATTTCACAAATGGATGGATGGATGGGTGTTAATGGCTATACCCTTTGTAACGGGTGATAGCTTGCGCCACCTAGACTAAAAATGCTGCTGCTGCTGCTGCTGCTGCTGCTGCTGATGATGATAATGATGATGTTTTTGATGATGATGATTACTTTCTACATATCACCGTTATATATACCGCATATGAAAAGGGACAGTGCTGTTCAATCAATAAACAAAAGAAGCTATATAAAGATTGAGTTCGTCCATTTCTTGCAGAGTACGCGTAAAGTCAACCTCTACAATCGGCCAGATGGACTCAATAGCTTATCAGGAGGCACCGAGAACCTTTCATTAATAAATATAATGAGTCCTGCTCTACCGGCTACACTGCGGCACCACCGCATTTCTCATGCGTCCTGCTCCACCTACTACACCACATTCTTCCAGAAAGACACGTTATATAATAATACTAATAATGAATGTAATAATAATACTAATGATAATAATAATAATTCTTTATTTGTATCATGCCTCAGACGAACCAATAGTCATATGTATAGTGGCACATAAAATGGTGGTACCAAACATTTAAAATAATACTATTTGCCACTGACGAAAGACATATGCGAATGAAGAATTAAAAATATAGAAATTTAAATCTCTTTTAAACACTAAAATGTTTTCAAAGTATCAACGTGAGAGGACAGTTCATTTACACAAATCTTCATCCTTACCGATGCTGACAATTCTGATGGAATGGAGGAGTAAAATAGATTCAGTCCACAAAAGGTAACGAAAGGAAGCGACAAACCGGACAAGACAGTGCGCTGACTCCCAACTATATATTTTTACTGATAGAAAAAGAGAAAGGCAACGCCACATTGTTCCACACGTTCACACACACACATCTACCAGCCATACATGCGCATTTACTGCACGTGCTGAACCTTCAATGTCACAGAATTCCTGAAACTGACAATGAAGGTCCAGCGCGTGCAGTAATGCGTAGATATCATCGGTAGAAGATGTGCGTGGGAACGTGTGGAAAAATGTGCGTTGTTTATCTCATTTACTATCAGTAAAAATGCATAGTTGCGAGTCAGCTCTCTGTCCTGTCCGGTTTGTCTTTTTTTTTTTTTACCTTTTTTGCGCTGTTTTATTTCAACAAGTTTAACCATAACAAGGGGGCAAAACAATCGCACCCCACACCAATTATTTGTTCCTCGTAATGTGTGATATCCTTCCTATCACTCTAAGGACAGTTGCAACAATTTGGCTGACGTGATGTGAAGAAAAAAAGGTTGGTATCAAACTACACTCCATGGCCACGAACTTGAGTGGCACGCTTAGTTACTCTAGGCTCGCTGGATAGTAAAATTGCCAAGTAGGTATGTATAAAAATAATTTCCCGTTTTCTACAGATGGTAAGTACTTCTGTTTTATCAGGGTTCACAAATAAAAAGTTGTGAGAACACCAGTTTGAAACATCTGACACATAATTCTGCAAAAAAGCACAGTCATCTTTCGATTGAATTCTAATGAAGATTTTGAAATCGTCAGCGAATAAAAGCATCTGTGCTTTCTTAACGCAGAGTCTAATATCGCTAATAAATATAAGAAACAGAAGTGGTCCTAAGTTTGATCGCTGCAGAACACTGGAAATAGGCACAAGAACATCCGACGAACAGCTTGAAACATATATACGATATTTTCATTCAGAAATATTGCTATTAAACCGCTCTAAAACTCCCGAAAATTCACCATATTGTCACGGATGACACACGACGAAACAGGAGTGAAAAAAATAAACTAAACGTTTAATGTGGCAAAATTGTGCCAAACAAAAAATGAAGTAACTTTGCGTCGCGGCGTCGATGTCGGCGTAGCAGCAGAGTCGAGCGCTGGCGAAAGACAGATTTCGGCTCGCCACGCAGAACCCCTTATGTACACGCGTGGGTTTCTGGAACAATCTGCATAGGAAGTTCGGCGCGTAGAACATACGGACCTCGAAGAAGCAACTGGGTTCTCGAATTCGTCAGAACGCGACA